TCACCCCAATGACTGTAGGCTGGGGAATGGTCTGGGCAGCGAGACTATACCCTAAGGTACATGTACATGAAGGCATAAGATAAGGCTAAAGCCCACTACCTGACTCACACAAAATGGTTTCAATGAATTAAAAATGGTTAATGACTTAAATAAGTGGTTTATTATTACCACACCATGTAAACTACTTTGCTGAATTTAATAGGTGAAGTGTTAATAATGCCATCACTCACTTCCAACGCAATATTCACAGCAACAATAGCCATCACTCATCAGCCTAGTTTCTTCCTCGATTAGAATTCTTCGGCAAGCTAGGGGCTTTACTCTCACTATAGGCTCTAAGCTCAGTGACTTGACTAGACAGTGACTGAGTGAGTCTCTTCAGTGCAATTGTCTGGAGTGAAAAATAATTAATGGGTGTGGTAAACTGATAATAATTTTTGATAATAGAACAGTCATGAAATTATAAATAGAAAATAAAATAAAAGAAGCATTATGCATGAAGTAAAATTTTAGCCAATTGTTGCCTCTTCTAATTTCTTCTGAATGTCATTTTGAAGATTAAATCTGATTTGACGAATGGTTTCACTGTTACTAACTTTATGCTGATCAGCATGAGCAGGAATGTTGATTTGATCAGTAATATCACAAACACGATCGCAAGACTGAGTACTTTGAGTAGCAGTATCAACAGGATCATCGAGTTGATTAGAAGCATTAATTGATACATTTTCTGTGAAATTAAAAGAGTTTTCGAGTGTCTGTGTGCCAACAGACAATGTTGGGGATGAGTTTTGTCTTCTCAGCATTTCAGTAGCGAAATCAGTTCTACCTTTCATCAGTTGCTCTGTCAGTCTTTCTCTGTAATGGCTGGTAGACTCATCCCCTTGTAGTATGACTTCAGCAACCCAGTCTCCTTTATCACTGTGTGCTATTAAATAAAAAGATTATTCATAAGTTATAACCGGGCATCACACAAATGTTGGTGATTTTAATCACAAACTGCTGTTTGATAAAATAAAATTCAAAAACGCAAAGCACTACCATAAATTGGATAATTCTCAACGGTTACAAAATACAGAATGAAAAATTTAGGCATTGGAAATTTTCATATGCCGCTTATTTATCCCAATATATTACATTAATAGGTGAAAAGGATATTAGTAATTCTAAATTAAGCATGCCTCACTGCTATGCAAAAATTACCATCATGCAAAATAAACCAGATTTATGATATATTGTATACCATAATATTCATAACAGTTAAATTCATAAGCATTACTCAAGATTTAATTTTAGTTTGGGCCCACAAGCTAACATTTGTACAGAATTTTAATCTTGTGGCGACTGGAAAAAACAATCAGAAAAAAATTGAGAAAATTAAGCAACAAATATTCTTACTTATTGCAATGGTCAAAGCTGAAGCTGGTCCACAAATGAAATCCTTTATCAGCCCACCAGTAATGACAAGCCACATACAATTTGGTCCAATATAAAATGAAGAAATAGCATGAAATGATCTCAATGCAATGTTTTCATCAGGTAATGAAACCTATGATAGTAATGATAATATAATAGTGAGTTATGACCGTATAGTAGGCTAGTAGCAAGTAGGGGATGATACTTAATATTTGTGATTGGATTTTAATATGGCCAGTAAATTTGTAATCATGTGCTACTGATACCGTATAGCACAAAAATTTGGAGGGACAAAAATTTGGCTAATTTGGCGAATAGAGTTTCATTCGCCAAAATAAAAACCGCCATTTTGAGCCTTTATACGCATGCTCAATGGCACGTGGCCACTAATTCGCCAAATTAAAATCCGCCAATAACCAAAATTTAGCAATTCGCCAAATTTTACTCCCTCCAAAATTTCCGGCTATACGGTATGGCACTAGGGTGTAAAGTAATGGCACTACTTCATGTACAAATATGTGTACCCTGAGCATGTATTGTATGCCTTTATAATAGTACAGGGACTTTGACCTGATTTTTTAATAGCTTTAAAAATTTGTTAAAAATCCGATTTTGATCCGAATCAGCTCAAACTTTCTATAAAACACAAGTACACATATATGTATCAGGAAAATTAGAAAAATGGAGAATTCTCTCTTTGTCATTTTAGGTGAAAATTGGCTAAAGACTCTGAGTACAGGGACTTTGGCCAAATTTTGAACAACTTTAAAAATTCATAAAAAATCCAATTTTGATTCGAATCAACTCAAACTTTCTACACAACATAAGTATATGGATATGTATCAGAAATAAATTTAAAGTGAAAATTCTCTCCTTCTGAATTCTGGTAAAATTTGGCCCAAGACTACTTGTACAATGTATATACATGTACAGAGACTTTTGAGCTACTTCAAAAATTTTTGATCAGAATTACAAGTACAAGATGATTTATTGGCAAAGAATTAATATAGGCGATTGGCAGATTTATGAAGAAATTGCCAATATAAAATCTGCCATTTTGTTTCAAACTGAGCATGCTCAATGTCACGTGGCACAAAATTGCCAATATAAAATCTGCCAATTAACTTCCACAGGCAAATTCCCCCAAATTTACTCTCATGAATAAATCATCTTGTATGGTATTTTATAACTTGTATACATTTGTAAATGCATTATTTACACAAGAATTTTGAATTAATATCTCACTTTTTTCCAAATCCAGTCTCTGGTACTCAATATCCAACAGTCATTGATGTGATCATTGTCTTCATCTTCTCCACCCATCACTAGTACATATGATTGGTCTCCTGTACTAAAGCAACAACTGGAATGACTTCTGCGACCAACTGGCCAGTCAACAAGAGTAAGAGGATCGGATAACTTGACCCATTCCTAAATTAACATATAACCATAATACCGTCACTTACATTGTATTAGCAAAAATAACATTATATCTACGTGTCATTGTGCATTAATTACGAAACGTATAATTATATCTATCTGTATAATCATTTTACTCGTACATATGTCTAATGCACTAACAATGCACTCAGGGTTTCCTACAGGATTTTGGCATAGTACTAAGCACCTTGCCAGTACACTATTACACAGATAGAAATTTTTTTATACATGTCCAAAATCCATGTATACATTTCTTGTATCGCACAAAAAATTGAGCTAATTCTGATCAAAAATAAATTTTTCAAGTTTTCAAAGTTGCTGTCAAAGTCCCTGTACTCTAATACGTATGGATGGTGTCAGGCCAAATTTCATCAAAATTCAAAAGTAGAGAATTTTCTTTTCATATTTTTGTGATACATATACACATGTACATATAAATGCGTAGAAAGTTTGAGCAAATTCCAAACAAAGTTGTGGATTTTAATGAATTTTAAAAGTTACTCAAAAAATGGACCAAAGTCCTCGTACTAAGAACATAAAAAATAAAAAAAACAAGATTGAGTAGGATTCCGAACGACCAACGAAAATACGAAATTAAAATCCTACTCTCGTGACGCAAATTCTACTCTACATTGTACTCTTAATGTTATTATTTAAAAGTTATGGATCACCTTAAAATGTAAAGTAGAATTTGCGTCACGAGAGTAGGATTTTAATTTCATATTTTCGTTGGTCGTTCGGAATCCTACTCAATCTTGTTTTTTTTTATTTTTTATGTTCTTGTTTGTGTTGATTTTTTTATAATATTTATAATATTTTTTCAGTTGCAATTGTGATGCTTCGATTTTACACAAACAATAAGTTTCTTTATTATTGTTGTCATTGTTATGATTTTACAGCATTAAGTTATGAGGGACAGCACTGATTGAATTGAATAGATATGGTGAAGGAATATCTACTATACTGATGACAAGTGAAATGAATACTATAGTCTTGACGTGAATCCTTGTTCAAGAAGCTCTATGTTCCCAGCAATCCTGTAGCTATTCCTGCAGGTTCTTCCTGTTGTCAAGTTCATATATATATATATCATTAGTATTATAACATTAATTAATTGTTTTGTGTTTTTGAAATAAAATAATTCATTACACACTTGATATATGCAAGATTAATACCTTCTCTTAGCTGGAAACCTCCACTAAATATTGCAATTTGATTCCAAGCATAGCTAGCCTAGCTAGGTAAAAAAATACTTGCTGTTCCCAGTTCTGAGATCTGAGCATGCGCGACCACGCCCAATTTTTTGGAGCACATGCTTCTTAATTAACAAAATGGCGGCATGAGGTAAGCTGGTGCGATCCAACAGTCACAGTATCACTTCTTCCTTTCTTGGAGAATGATTCTAGGGGACAAGGACCTGTGCATACCCTGTTGGAGTAGAATGGTATAAGAATTAGCCTTCTATCACCAGGTAAGACTGATATATCGACCGACAACTGGATTGACAGGAGATCATGATGATGAAGATGAAAAAAGGTGGCTGAACAAAACGGCCGGTTTGCAGATTTTTGATTTTTCTTCCAGAAAAGGTCTAGAGCCACGCTAGTGGTACCATTGGAGTCCTCTGGTCAAGATAAGGTCCTCTAAGAAGTCTGGTAAGCATAGGAGCTCGTTTTCCCGGTATAGCAATTAGCAAGGCTGCAAAAGTCGTGGCAGCCATTTTGTTTGGGGATGAATCCTACTTAGTAACGCTACCGCGTTACTAATAGCAACACAGTAGCATTACTAAGTAGGATTACCCCACTTCAAAATGGCTGCCATAACTTTTGCAGCCTTGTAGTACAGGGTCTTTGGCCAATTTTTGTCAAAAATGACCAGGTGAAATTTCTCAATTTTAATATTTTTTTCTAATACATATACATGGACTTATATTGCATAGGAAGTTCAAGTGGATTCTGACTAAAATTGTTTTTACAAATTTTTGAATAAGTTCAGTGCTCAAAAAGACATGTACTGGTACTATTGTGGTGCTTGTCAGCTCATGAAGCATGCTGTTTTGTTTAGCTCATTTTGTGGGAACACTAAATTCACTGCATATACACTGTACATGTACATTTTAGCCATAATATTACTTGTTTCTTACCACAATCGTATCATTGATTGTACTGATATAAATGTCACTGGTAACTTCATTGTTAATCCTTCCACCAAACACTACTGCCTTGTTGTATGATATCTTTGTCATTGTTAGTGTATTCAGAGGAGGTGGCTTCTGACCGGTACTATCGGGATTTACCCATCTACCTAGAAATAAAAAAGATTTATGTTACATCATTTAACAATTTGAATGAAGTGCTATACTACATTAACTTTGCAAAGCATCATTACTATCAAAATTACTCATGGAGCTGTTATATTTGTACATCTGTTACTACATGTATCTCAATAAACAAGTGCAGTGACAGTTATTATTTTTGTTATCATAAAAGGAATTGATTGAAATAACTAAAGAGTTTAATGTGACAAATACCTGATTTAATGATAAAGATGTGTTGCTCGTTATTCCTAAAAAGACCATTGGTAGAGTCAACAGCATAATCAGTGTGAGGTTTAGGATTAGAGGGACAAATACCATACCCACCAAACACAAACAAGGCGTCTTCACCATTATATATTATATGAATAATCCCACATGCTGCTTTTCGGGTTGGAAACCCTTCGTCCTCTCTGACTGACGTCGGGGAAACCTCAGACCAATGAAGAGTGAGAGTATCAAGTAGACTTACATTGTTATGGTAACAATTATCATGGCCACAATCACCTCCAAAAAAGTATATCTGTTCATCAATCGGTGTACAGGCATAACCAGACACACCCAGTGGCGGGCTTCCTTTCGTTGGCTTTTGACTCCATTGGCCAGAGTGTAAATTAAATATATCTATAATTGAAGTAATCCTTCTCTTTTCTGTGCTGTCGTGTATGCTAGGTATCTGCTCCTGGTAGCCTCCCCACAGGAACAGACTATCCTTAATTACAACAGTTGAATGCCCAGCTCTACCATTGGGATAATACTGTGATGGTGACCTGTGAGGGGAATCGAGAAGGATTAGATTAACAAGTTGCATTCAATACCTTATCAATGAAAGCAACCCTGACTTTGCTTTATATACTAGACCTAAATCTAAATAAAAATGTCTCATTTCATTCACTTAAACCAGAACCTTTAGTCCTTTACCTTTCCTGATGCCCGCCATCAAATGAAGTAGGTGGAGTGAGTACAAATTTACCCCGCCCACCAAATTAGAATAGAATGTGTGCACTGCATCATCTGGATGCAAATGATGGACATGCATTTTTGCAAGTAGATATTCAATTCTTCATTAATTTTATATATTCTTAAAATCCCTAATTAAATTTTTATTTCAGTTTCACATCTACAATGGTAGTACCATTATTATTAATAATATAAACTAAAAAAAAAAACTGAATAGAGACGAATAAAGTATTCAGTACTTATTTAGCTAGCATAAAATTCAAACGCTTATTAAATTTGGCAAATTTAAAGTTAGATTTCACAATTCATACTCTTTTTAAAAATCTCCCTGTTCTTCTTCAATTTTTGCTCTATCTTTTGCTCCAATGCTTCCTCTTATTCCAATAGTTTCACTGCTCAGTTCTCTTGCTCTTTCATTCCTCATACTTTCAACAATTGCTAACAAATGATCCACTGAACTGCGTAACTCCTTCACTTCCTGAGATACTGAACTGTGTAACTTCTTAACTTCCTGAGATACTGAAGTGCGTAAGTCCTTCATTTCTCCTGATAATGGTTTGATCTGAGTATTAACATCAGCTATAGTTGCCTGTGTTAATTAATTAAAAGTAAAAAAGAAATGAATTCACTCACTGGAGGAGGCTCAGATCCTTCAGTCTTTGATTCAAAAATATAACCAATCAGCTGCTTCAAGACTCCTGACTTGTTTGGGTACATTGTTTGTTCTTGTTTAATGACAATATATTTTGCTACAATTTTTTTTAGAAATTCTTCCATTGGTAGTATGAATTCAACCTATTGATATTGTAACATAAAAATAATTATGCTATATTATAATGTTCATACTCTTAGAATTAGTCTGTAAGTGTCAGCTGATTTTCGTATTTTTTGAGTGTCACCAACAGCT